GGCAGCAATGGCATCCTCTAGGTTCTCTCTCAGTATTTCTCAGTTCTGGCCTTCTTTGAATTGCAGTCATCTCTTTTACTTTTTGCTTGGACAGAGCAGGGGCCAGCTAACTCTCACAGACAGTCTACCGCATGCATGGGGCATAGAGAAGTGCTTGTACTTTGCATAAGACTCTATGCAGGCCTTCAATCAATCACAGCTGAAAGTAAGGATATTGTATCCATTTAAAAAGGCAGGCTGAAGTTAAGCAGAGTGAAACCTTCAATCAATCGCAGCTGAAAGTAAGGATATTGTGTCCATTTTAAAAGGCAGGCTGAAGTTAAGCAGAGTGAAAAAAGGATGGCTGCTTGTGGTATGAACCACGACTGGCCTCCAGGCAGATTTTTCCACAACCAAGAGCCAATAGATCTGAATCATTTAGTCTATAATGTCAAGCGGGTGGGAGCTGTTTTATGTCACAGATAGAATAAAGAAGGAAATGTTTAAATGGTTTAAAGATGTATTATGTTATCTGAAGACTTTGGTAAAATTGCCAAATCTGGACATGTTCTAGAGGTTATCTGTGCCTAGGTAGTATCTTGCAATGAAGACCGATCCTCTGATTATTATTACCAAGAATAGACCATCTCTATTTGTGGCTGCCTGGTTTATTAAACCTCTGCAGACACTTATTTTGTCATATACTTAAACTGGATTGAACTCTCTTCTCCTATTTTTGTATGAGCTATAAGCTTTATTTATACCAAGCACTTTTCAAGCTTGTGATTTTTGCAGATTGAGAAGAGAGAGGACAAGTTAGGTGTGAATTTGAGTCCAGAATGAGAATCATGAATAGCTTCCTCTTGCCTTTACTTCCAGAAAGAGAAAACTGAAAGTACAATTCTTGACCAAGTACTTTTTGAAGTTCACAAATCAAAGCAAGACAAAAGTATTGCCCAAACAGATCTGTCAAAAGAGCTAATGACACCTAGAAATACTTCTAATGAAATACATTCTTTCCAGAAAGGATGAGAAGTACAGACACCTCCTCCAGCATATCACTTTCCTTAAACTTCAAGAACTATCCTCAGATTTGTCTAACTGTAGATAGAGATTATAACTATGTTAACAGAAGACAAGCCCAGAGAGCATTTAAAACAGAATCAGTGTTTTTGCCAACAGGCGCAAATTGAGTACAACGGAAGAGGTCAACAAAAAATTCTGCTGCTTCTTCAGAGTATCAGTTAGATGATGTCTGCTACAGCTCCCACATCTCTTCCTGAACTTCCTGAATAGAAAGCAGCGTATTTCATCTGTCCCCAGACATGACCTGTCTTGACCTAGCTTCCTCTTCATATTGAGGAAATTCATCAACCAAATGCTGTTTCTCTTTAAACTACTCGTGTTGCTCTTCCCAATTCAGATTATTTTTTTTTAATTAAAAAAAAAAGATATGTAATTCCCTAACAATTCCTAAATAAATAAATAAATAAATAACTTGCTTTCCTGAGAAAACATCTTTGGCGCTTACTGAACATGTTCTGTTATTTGGGTCAGCAGAGAAAGGAATTCTGCTCTCACAAGTATCCTGTTTATCCAAAAGCTTCAGATAATTACATTTTCTATGTTTAAAGTACAATCATCATTCAAAAAGTTTGAGTAGCACGTATTTGGAGGCTCAAAAAGCACTCAAGGGAAAAATCACTACATGCCTTGTTCTTATATTCTTCCCTAGGCATCCACTTTTGGCCCTTGCTGGAGACACAATCCTGGGCTACACAGACCTTCGATCTGACCCAGTACAGTCACTTTTGTGTCTTCTGCAAGAGTACTAAACTTCCTACTAAAAAAAAAAACCCAAATCTACCCAGTTTTGTAGAAATTTCCATTTTCCTGGTCTATGGAAAATGTAACTGTTACTTATTAGAAAAAAAAATTCAAGGAGCAACCACTGCATGAGTGGCCTACTCATGAGTCTACACAGAGAACAGAAATACTGTATTTTTATCTGAACAAGCTGTAAGATGGATTCACGCAGACAACAAATCCCAGTGCTATTACTCAGAAACTTATGCCAAGTTTTTTTTTTTTAAAGAAGCTGCGAAACAAGAGAATTGAAAAGGAGGCTGCAAGTTCTAACAGAGCAACAGTTTGCTTATTTCCAGCAGACCTGCAAATAACCAGCTACAAAAGTCACATTTTGCCACTCAAAAACAGGGAAAGGAAAGGCTGTTGCTGAGAAAGGTATTATTCTATCTATAGCTAATGCACCCATTCCAATTCGGTGAGAGTAGCAGCATATGAGGCAACGAGATGCATGTTTATAAGTAGTTGTGTATATATACACACATGCATATGTACACATCAGCTTTATGAGTCTATAAAAATATAATGGTGGTGTTTAAATACCATAGGTAAAGGGCAATGAAAGGCTGACATCAAATACTTAAAACCGAAGTAAAAGTGTTAATTTGTATACTTTGTATTGCCTTTCATTTTCCTAGATATTCCAAAGAGCAGTTTTGTTTTGTGAACTGAACCTCTGATTTCTAAGACAAGATTACTCTTCCTCCTGCATACATTCCTCCTAAGGAGAGGAAAAACCCCATAAATTAGCAAAATATTCCGGAAAATTGTGAATATTCCTTTTCTTTCTCTTTCAAAATACTTCCGTATCATAAACTAAAGACTGATTTTCCACATCTAAGAGACAACAAAAATATCTGGGAAGGTTTTCTAACCTATACCTCCTTGAATTCTGTTAGCAGCCAGACGATATCTCTGAATTTTAATGCTTCCCTCATATCTACTTCAAAGAATATATTTTTTTATCATTCTTATAACATCGGCTACAATATAGCAAGTCTAACACACGATATAGTAAATTTTACAATAAATTCATTATTATTCCAGCATAAAACAGTATCAAACAAAAATACTGGGACACTCAGAATGGCATGTTAAATCAAATGGTGCATATTACCAATTGCTGTTTGAAAGCTGCAAGTTGCAAGATGATCAATCATTGGTTAAGTCAACAGAATGCATTTTAAATATATCATCATTTAATGTTACTAAAATAATTTCATATTTGCATACAGAATGTCATATGGCATATTATTTACAAAATAGCTCAATGTCATATAAAATTGTTTACATTCAGTATAGGAACTTAATCATTATTCTGGTTAAAGACAAGAAATCAAACCTATTCCCTGTATGCAAACTCTATTTCTTAAACAAAGTTAAATAGCCTGAATAGTTTTCATCTCTTACTCCTCATTGTCAGCTATGACAGCCTCCAGCCAAGGAAAGAGAAACAACTACCTTTGCTTCTGCCTTACAACTAGCAAACTGTTTTGCCTTACAGTTGATAAAAGATCAGCATTGATGTGAACATTGTCAAACATTACTGCCTTTTATATATGTATAAAAGTCGATTTTTTACCTTACCAAAATTAACTTAACCCTGGTTAATGTTACTGAGCTTCCATACTTGGACTCTTCAACTTTCATTTGTTGCAATTTCAGGCTTGGGTATATTTATGGTTAAGCCTACAGAATACGTGAACTGTTGGAAAACAGAAATATTTGAACAGAGTAGGGCTTGCACAGAATTTGCTTTCTTTCAGCATCAAAGAATTTTGGCAAGGATGGGTGAATGACATTTTTAGTGAAAAGAACTCTGTTTCTTCTCTTACTACTCAAACTTGATTTTCTGCAAAAACCTGAAATTACACACATGAAATTGATGGGCATTACTGAAGTAATATAACTAAAATATTTCCGGTTTGAAAATTATCTTTTCTTAAAAATAAGTTAGAATTATATTTGACATACAAGAATTATGTCATTAACAGTGGCAGAACTCTATTTTACACATTTTTCCACTTTCCTGATGACATAAAGTACCACTCGTAAAAATAAGGCTGGTAAAAAACTTGAGGGAAAAAACACTTCAGCCAGTATTTTGGTCTATAAAGTTTATGTAGAAAGATCACAAACTAAATTCTTTTCGAGAAACTCAGGATAAACAGAATACCACAAGTTCTCTCAAGGAGCTGACAGAACGCAAGCAAGTGCTTCTAACTGCTATGGGAACTGGACTAAGAACTCAACAAGCCCACTGAATGAACATATAGCATGTAAAATATGGCAGGTGTAACAGATACCAACGCAAAAGGATATCAACTCCTCTGTCCGAATTACAAGTTTTAAATAAGCCGCTATTATGGCCATTAACAGAATACATCAATAGCACGAGTGTGCTCATTTTCATAAGCTTTCAGTACATTTAGAAACTCTTATTAGTACTGGGTCACTACGCTGAAGTTTAGCAATATACACTTGTACTCAATGTTTTTACTGTTGCGGTCCAGTGAACAGAAGCTGAAAACATCCTCTAATGATAACAAAAAGTAAAGATGGCCTTCTATTGGTATACTATTAGGTATATGTTTCAAAACTAGTATTTGAAATTAAGATATACAGGCTTATATAAACTTATATGCAATCTTTAGATCACTACAAATCCAAATCAGAGAAGTAAAACTGTAAGCCTGTGTGTGTATGGAACAGAATACACTATTATTTGAAGAATAACCATTTCTTGAGGCCTCACATGAAGATGCCAATTAAAAAACACTAATTTCATACCCAAAGTGTCCACAACTGCACTCTGTCACATCTACATTTAATGTGTGTTACACGTACATGGTAGTTCTACATAACAAAACTCCATTTGCCACCATCACTCAACAACTGTGTTCCCTGGCTGTGATTTGCAATTGTTAGAAGCCAAATTTTAAAGTTTGTCAAGCATTTTCTGATATCCTTCCCTTCAGGATAAAAAAAATAAAATCTGACTGTAACATGGATGTGGATGCACTGAATAATAATTTTATTCCTCTGTTACAGAAGATTTCCTAGGTCTGAGAACAAGATCTTTGATAGAGGTAGTGATTTCCTGGAGCTCTTTTCGAATGGTATCTGCTCCTTCCTCCTCTTCCAGGTTTTCTGTTGCGTCACCATCTCCATGTTCAGTTTTCTTAGTCTGGCTGATCAATTGTTTCACTACTAATCCCTGGTATTTGACTAACAGAGAATGCTGATCCTGAGGGGAAAAAACAGAACAAAACAAAGGAATGTCAATGTTACGGAGAAGGTACACAGACCTTTAATTAAAGATTAAATTTTTAAAAAAGCATTCTCCCATTCTTGCCTAAAGACGGTTAGTGATACATAAATATATTTCCACCAAGGTATTTTGCAACCTAAATTCTGAGAGACATTCAAAGAGGCAGAAAAATGAAAGTGCATCCGTGCCGCAAGGACAGGACAATTAACCACTGAAGCAGAAAAGCAATGCAGTTAGTAAACATCACCAGTTTTGACAGTTTAGAATACAGACTTTCAGTATTTTTACTTCTGAAGGGGTGTATCTTTCTTTAGAACTGAATTAGAAAAGTTTAAAACGCAACCATGCTCTAGCTGGGAGGAAAGAGAGTGTAAAAATTTTCAGTTATAAGAATTATAACATCCCCCCAATACATAGCTGTCCCTATGAATAAAGGCAAAAGCTACGGTACTAATAAGAGATTGATTTTTAATTTTATTAAAAAAATACTGAAGACAGATCCCTGAAATGATAGGTTTGAAATATAATACAGATCAGAGAAATTGTATATTCTGTACATAAAGTAATGATTAGACATGAAACAGAAAGGTGTCAGTCTTATGCAGCAGAAACAGTAACAACTTTTATGTTCTGTCACAGAAAAAAGGTACTTTCCCCTTAGAAAGCTAGAAAGGAATACCTCTGGGATCTTGCCACTTAGGAAATGAATGATCTGTGGTACTGATCTTCCTGGTGCATGAAGCATACAGTGGGTTGAAAACTGAAATAACAGTACTGATGTCAGGTGCAGAACAAGAGCTGGATCTTCTGTGACTTTTAGCTGCTCAATCAGAGCTTGTCTATGCTGAAACAGGACTTGCCTAAGGAACAGGAATACATTATATAAAAATATATTTCTCATTCTGTCTTACAGTAGTTGATAATAGACTCTAAAACATATCTAACTTCAATTAATTTTAATTTTCTCCTCTGACTGACCATTTCTTCATGTGAAATTCCACATTAAACAAAAAAAAGCTAGCACTGTTGTAGCTCAGACTTTGAAAGCCCCCTAGAGAATTCATAAACTATGTTGTAGTAAGCAGTCAGTCAAGCAACTTAGCTAAATATAAACTCTCCCCTCCTCCTTCTCCCATGGAATTAGGACTGCCTGACTTTGTATTTTTCAGTTAAACAGTTTGGAAAGAAAGACTGCCTCTTACTTAAACATTCTGTATGACTGCTACCAAACTAACCATCTAACATTTGTGCAGCAATAGAGCTACATTTCACGTACTGTGCATAGAATTAATAAAATTAAGGTACCTTTCCTTCTTTTTGTCTCCTTTTTTCACCATAATACCACAAATATCCACTGCGGAATCAAGGCATGAAAGAAAATCTTCTACACTCTGTTAAAAACCGACATAAATATTTAATCTGTGTTAGCAGATTATAAAAAAGGTTAACTACTGTTCACAATTAATCACATGAATAGATGACTGTGAATACATTTGGAATAAACTATGGAAGAAAAGAGAAAGTAAAAAGTATTTAGTAGAAATTAACTTTATTCATCTTCCAATAGTTCATATACTTAAAATACTAAACCAAACTATAATCCATTAGTCTTAAAAATCAGGAACCTCACAAACAAAATACAAGAAACATCAACCACTTTAAACTGCAGATTCTCTCCATTTTTACTTTTCTCACCTGCACATAAAAGATACACTGGATTCCATCTGGACGTAAACAGCTAGGTGACTATCAGTATCAAAATGTAAGGTCACCTTTTCACCTCTTAAAATTCACAGATATGAAAATGTACTTACTCTCACTGACTTATACAAATTCAAAAGATTATTTTGCCTTCATTCTCTACAGCAGCAGCAGTTATGTACTACACTATGTATGTCAGCTGTTCATTAGCATTGTACCTGCAGAACAGAAAATCTGAACTCAAAGATTCTGGATCACTTTACCTTGCCATTCAGAGAAGTATGCAGTTTAGTTAAAGGACCTTTGGTGTCTTCTGGCAATTTACCTAAAATCTTGGTCCGGACCTGTATGAGACAAGAATGGAAATAATCTGTAATATTAATTACCATTTTAGCTGTAGGCATATTTAAACAGAAGATAATTAAATATTAAATAAACATCACTGATCTACTTGAGATTGTTGAAAAGGAACTGTTATCTGTGTACCTCACTTGTGATTGTAGAATAATTTTCTGTTGTCATCATTGACTCAGATGCCAGGAAGTTGAAAATAAGGTTTGTAATGTCTGTACAGACAGTCTTCAATAGGTGTTTGGCAAGGTTAGTCTGAGTCTCATCTGTTAAAAGAAATAAATGATTAAAAGTAACTTGTTATAGTTATCTGATTCCTGTGACAGTTATCACAGCACTTCCTAAAACGTGGACTCTATCAACCATGAGCAGTATGAGAAAGTTATCTGGATACATGAAGCTAACATCCCTCTTTTGCAGTTGCTTATGGAACATTCTTCAGTGAAAAACGTGAGCTTTCAGGTGTGTAAGTGCATTTTAATGCATTGTTAGTATTTCAAAGGTGTATCTGTATAAGCAGTAAACTAGTTCCTGTACAATCCTCCTGAACTGCTAATGAACAACCACTGCTATCTATCAACAAGTAAAAAGTATGTAAAGGAAAAGTCTACAGGACAAGCAGTTAAACAGAAGAGCAAGCACATGACTTTAAGACTGAAACAGTAGAATTTTAGAAAAAAGAGGCTACAGAACACATGTACAAGAACAGGGGCTAACGGGAGATAATTACATTATTCCTAAACATAGGAATATTGGGGTTTTTTGTTAGTGTTTCCTTTTGTAATAAGTTTTCTGCAGGGAAAGTTCTAGAAGAAAGCTGAATACAGCAGAGAATCTTGGAAATATCTACAATATTTTCCTAACACTACTTTTCTGTCACAAAATATAGGTAGCTAAAGAAGACACCTTACAAAGTAACCCACAGCAAAATGAATCTACATCTTTTTCAAAAACTACCCTCAAGTAGCAGCTACTTTCAGCATCAAACCTAAAAGAGGTTTTAACAGCGGCTTCTTAGAATCAGGTAGTCAATTCTTTTATTAGTGGCACAGGTGACAGAACGAAGTAATTAATTTCCTCCCCCCCGCTTCCCCCCGACAATAAAAACTGGAGAGGGATGCAAACACTTTGGAAGGAAGGACAATAACCCACAATTATCTTGGCAGAAGATGTAACAGACTGTGGATATGAAATAAAGAGAACATATTTCAGTTAAGTGTGCAAAGCAATGCACTCCAGCATAAGGTCAGTGTTAGGCAGTGTAAATACATCTCTAAGTTTTTCCTTTTTAAACTGTTGCTTTTCTTCGACCTTGAATGTAGATTCTGGAATAAATTCAACATCCTTGAAGGAGCATGTTCATTTTTTAAAGTATATATTTATTGTACCTGTGAAATGCTTTGTTCCCTTTTCAAATAACCGAATGTTGTTGTACAAGTTTGAGAATTCCTCCTGCAAGTCCTTCATAGTCTGTCTTCTGCTAGCTCCAGAGGAAGATGTTGAAGACGTAAAAACAGAACGCACAACTTCCTGATAAGTTTTTGTTAAAGGTCTTAGAACAGAGAAGAAGAAAGGAGAAAAAGGGAACATTAAGCAAAGTGTAAAACTGTAGAAGGTTTTTCCAAATATATAAGCAATAGAGAAAGCTACCTCATTACACAACTCCTAAATGTGAACAAGATGAAAGATAGAAAAGATTTCCAGAAGCAACGCTATTCACAAATTCTTTCAGGGGTCTGTGGACAAATTTCAGATCAATGAGAGCTGTAAGAGGGGAAGACTTAAGTCGCATTAAAATAGCACAGGCCTTCTAAAGATGCAGTTACCATTCCACTCCAAGTCTATTCAAGCTTGGGCTGTTACAGTCCTATCATGTCCTTTTTGCCCTGAACACGCATATTCACATCCTCTCTCTTGTATGGAACATCTTTTAAAAGAAGTTCTTCACCTTTGCTTAGATCAGTTTGTGGACCTAGCTTACTACCCAGTTCACACAGGTACCAGTGGAGCCACAAAAGACAGGGAACAGGAACATATATCAAAGGCTGTACAGAAGATGGGACTGGTGAAACCCCAACATGGATCAGTGTAAGGGGGTGGAAATACACCCATGAACCTGAAATATGCTTGCTGACAAAGGATGCAGAACCACCTACTGCTAAGCAGAAGCATTATTTCTCATTACTGTGTCAGCACGGCTTTCTAATACATAAGCAAGTATGTAACATCGAGCTGCATAGACAACGAATACTGCAGTTCACTTTCATGTGCAAACTATTTTTTTCTAAGCAAGAAAACAGACTGAAGAGAAGGTTCACCTGAAGTGAATCACAGACTTTCTAACTCCAGTTGAATTACTGAAATTACCTTATTAGATGTTCAGCAAGTTCTGAAATAAGCTCTTCAGGGCAATCCTGCATGTGGGTCTTTAAAACATCCTGAATTTCCTCTTGTGACATGAAAGGGAACTCCGGCTGCTTATTCCTACCTATAGCGGCCATGAGCAACATTCATTGAGAAAACATTATATTTAGTTTTGCTGCAGTTACTCTGTCGCATGAGACATTGAAGTGCCTCAAAGTCCGAACCTCCACAGAAGAAATGCATTACCAACAATGCAAAAAAACAGTTAAATTTTACACATATGAAAACCATACAAAATTTCTCTTTTGATCACTTAGAAGTTATTTTCTGTAATAGAAAACTTAAGTAGTATATGAGGACATGCATTTTTGGTGAGACATTTCAAACTGCCTGGCCCATCCATTAGTTTAGAAACGATGACGTCACCAAGACCAGATAGTTTTTTAAAATGCCCAAACTGAGTAGAACGTGCCTATTTGAAGAATTTCACAAGGTTGTTGGGTTTTTTTTAAACCCCATTTAGTAAGGTACACAATCATGTAACAGAGAGTATCCTAAAGTTGAGGTTACAGAATAAAATTTGAGACACGATCAAGCAAGATATTAAACCAGACAAGAAGTTCCAGTAATAAAATCAACTTACATGCTGCTTGTAAATGCATATGAATTAGCACATCTGTATTTTGGATTTGGACAAAATATGAAGTTTGTCTGCATGCTGCAGAATTTAGTTTTTACTTATAAGAATGAGATCAGGATGATGACAGAGAACCAGAAAAGGACAGGCATTCCGTGTTCCAGATGCAGCATAAAACAGGTTTATTCTGCACATAAGGTAACTGAATGAATGGAAATCAATGATGTTCCTAGTTGTGCCACAGTAGCAATGAACAACATACAAGGCTATATAAACAGGTGGAAAGGGAGCTTAAATCAGGTTTTGGAAGGGTCTTTATATTTGAATGGTTACATCTGAATTTATCTTGGGATTTTGGTTCAATCTATTTATTACAATACAGCAATACAAGCAGCAATAATTGTAAAACATGAAAGGCTACACCAAAAAAAAAGGTGATTTAATACTGTTTTACTCAGTAGCTGATAGTCTTGAAAAATAACTTCATTTATGTGTGGATTACAGTAATCTAGGAGAGTAGTATCACACAAAATTAAGACACTGTACTTCACAACTTCAAATATCATGTTTAAAAGTATTTTTCAGTCAGTATTGAAAGTCTAGATACTATATATAAAATGGAAGTACACATTTCTGGTACTCCATTGAATAACACATAAGAAGATATAACACATAATTATGATTGTTTCATTTGCAACCACTGTTTGCTAGAAGTCTAACAATGTAGCTGTTTACTTCTGAAGAAGCCATCCATGCTCCTTCTCCTAACAGTAAAGGTTAGGAGAAAATGTAAAGAGAAATGAGCACCAATAGGGAGCGATTCAAACTCATCCTGTAATACACATTTAAAACAAGTGAGACAGACTAGGCCTTCAAAGTAGCTACCTTCCTCCATTACAAAGTCAATAGTTATAAAGGTAGCTAGCTCAGACGTAGAAGTCTCAGTCAAACAAGATGAATCTTATTTAAAATATTAAAACTTTATTTTGAGTGTATATTTTATCCCTATGAGGAAAAACATCTAAGTACTGTTTCATTGCTATGATTTGTTAATTTAACCTAATTAAGCTTTGGAACTGTATGAGAACTTTTCCATTTATCATACACTATTCAGCAGGTGTTAAGAAACTGAGTATAACATTCATCCCGAAATCTAAGGCATTTCCTACATAAAATAAATTTAAAAAAAAGCTCTTAATTTCCTTTACTTAAATTTCTTTTTTAAAGACTAAGTTATACTTTTCAGTGAATATGGTATGTCCATTTCATTTAAATAGCAACATCATATCCGTTGATACAATTCTAACTAAATAGTATTCTCATCTTGATATTTTACCTGACCTTATCAATACAGTGGGGGAAAAGAGAGATGTGGAAAAGCAAGTGATAAAAACACGTCAGTATGAGTAGACAGTGCCCAAAATAAAACGACAAACCTGTACTAGTTGCTTGCGACTCTTCATCACTGTCAGCATCCTTTCTTCCTTTCTTCTTGGTTTTCTTAATCTTGATCTCCCTAGCATTACCACCTCCTCCTCCTCTCATGCTTCCACTGCCCTCTGGTGGAAAATTATTTGCTTAGTACACAGTAAAGTTGTAGCACTTAAAAAATTTACAATATTATGGTAATTTATCTGCGTTACTTGTTAATGCTGAATTCAAAAAACAAAACCTGATTCTAAACATAACCTACAATACATATTCCAGAATCTTAGGGCCGTAAGTTTCTTTCTTAAGAAAAAAAAGCAACTGAGTCAAAGCTTTGTTTAAGCTAATGTTATTAATAAACACAAATTCTAATTATATCAAATGTACATGTCATTAAAAAAAAAAAAAGAACAGTATCTTCTTCCAGCTGAAAACAGATGAGATACGAGTGCCCATAATATAATGGGAGATTTTCTGTTGGCTAAAAATAGCATCCTAGTAAGCATTTAGCATTTTTGTTCAGTGATGCTGAATAACTGAGCTACTCAAAAATTTTCCAGATAATGTAACTTTGTTAACTTTCAGAGAAAGAAATGGATAAATGCTACGTAGTAAGCATTTATCCAAAATATTCTTGGAAGCGTGCATGCAATTAATGAGAACACTAATTCTTTTCCAACTATTCCTAGATGACTATAAAGCAACGAGATGTTCCAGTTCTGACAAACATAACAAATTACTTAGTTCACAGGTCTGTAATCCATGTATTCACACTGCAGACAGGATCTCAATTTGCAATACCACAAGGTAAGCTGTTCTGCTGTTCGTTCCCTTTTTCACAGCTTGTTCCCTTCTTTTTTGACTTGAAAGAAATTTAAACTCCCGAACAATTGGTTCTATACATGCACTAAGTCTTGAGAAAGTAGTTATTTTTCCATTTAAATATAAGGTCCAAGATTTCAAGTAACTACATTATGTAACAGTACTATCATTTAAGAAAAGGAAACACAAAGACAAGATGCTACTACTCACAAAGCTAACTGCATCTGTTACGTGCTATAGATGGATTTTTAAGCATTACTCTGCAGGAACAGCAAATTAGTTCACTTGCAGCTAGCAGCGGATGGTGTACTTGTGAGACCTTCTGAGTTTGTGACCTCTCCAAAAAAAAAAAAAAAAAGAGTTGGTGTTTTTCACAAGCTTATTTGAAATGTGACTGCATTCAGCTGAGCAGATACAAACTGTTTGTCAACTGTGCAATATACTAGTTATTTTGGAAACAGGCTCCCTTCATTCTGTATTCCACTTTAACAGCCATACAGAAAAGGCTGCAATCTGCAGTCAAGATCTTATCCACAGAGAGACGAAGCAAGAGAGACTACTGCCAGAAAAGCCGTATTTTATGACAACAGGGTACACGGACTATAACCTACAGAAAGGATTTCAAGAGTACATGCCTCTACAGATACTTGTTTGTAACAGACTGTTGCAAATGGTATTATAAATAGACAAGAGATTTTATCTTGAAAATTTTCATTAATCCAATACATGGCAGAATCCGAATTTGTATGAACTGTATTAACACTACACCATGTCAGGTTACACTTAAACAATAGGTATTGATACAGTCACGTGCAGACCTTAAGATAGGCAATGTGACATTGGCCACATTCTGCCAATACGTAATAACAACATCTAATCCCTATACCATGATGTTGATTGTTCTAAGGCAATACACCTAACAGTCCATAAAAAAACCACTTCAGGGTAGTGCTTGCTGATGGTGCAGCATATGTTACCTGTGGATATGAATGTGTCTAGACACGTAGTACATGCTCAGTAGAGTCTCACTTCTCAGAGGGCTGGAAACTGAAGTCATTCTATTTATGACAGTTCAATTAAAGTTCAAGCTTTTCTCCTCAGCTATGGCCTAGAAAAATCTGCTGTCTCTTGTGGCAAGAATACTTTTAGTTTCCGTGTCAACTCAGTCATGGCCTTTTTAAGAGTAGAAGATAATGTTTTATTTTGCAGATGAGTATATTCAATTAAGCTAGATGCATCAGTGCTCTAATTCTGTTACTTTCAGTAGCACATAAAACTCTGCATGTGAGTTCAACATAGATTGCTCAGCTGTGCTGTAGCAACACAAGAGCCACAAAAAGTTTTTGGGACTGAAAATACAGTCTGTAGTCTGAAAAATGTTTTAAAAAACAGAAAGATTTGAAAGGGTTAAAACCACGCATTTTTATTCTTCCTCAGATTAAAACGAATAACGAACTAATAAACGAACATGGATTCCTTGCTTCTAAAGCCAGCTGCCTTGTGTTGGACTAACTCAAGATATCTTTACGGTACTTCCTCTGCACTTCTAAATCCAAAATTAGTTCTCATAGACATAGATCAGATATATTTAAACTTACAGTATAATGATAAGAAATGGTTGGATTATTTCTTAAATATCTTCAGCAATGGACCGGAGGCAACTAATGGACTACAAAATATAGTAACTTTATATTTGAATATTTCCAAGACTAAACAAGCCTTTTTTTTTTTTTGGCTTAAGCCAAATATTGATGCCTTACCTGTTGCTTTCTTTCTTCTTTCATCCTTTTTGTCTTTTTTATTAGCATATGAGTTCTCTAAACCAGAAGCCTGTTTTAAATCTTCTTCAGTGATTAAATTAACAGGGTTATTTTTCATTTCCTAAAATGAAAAACATGCACTTAATAGCAGAAAGATAACAGAGCAACAAAAGATACATACGGAAACATTTAAGCCATTTGGCCATTTTTATGTATACTGATCTAACATCATGTTTGCCAAGTGCAAAACATGAAGAGACATTTATTCTTCTCTTCAAAATTCAGCATCTGATCATACTGTTAGTGTGATGGTGTTTCCTGAGTCAACTGAATATACATCAAATTACACTGATTACATATACAAACGTTTTCTTCATTTTTGCCCTTTTTCTCAAGCTGTATTTCACATGAGACGTAAAGTGATGATAACAGCAAATAGAAAGTCACATAAACTATACTCCAACACTCAATGTATATTGCATCTTGACCAACGCAAAAAACTGTACCTTTTCAGCTTTCTGTCGCATCATATCAGAAAATAGATCAGCACAGCTGCTTAGAAATTTCTCACTGACCACAATGGTGTCACTGAAGACTGAACCTGAAGAATTTTTGTTTAAAGATCTCATCACTTGTTGAAGCAAAATCCCAACATCATCTACTGACAATGAGCTGGGCAGAAGAGTCTAGGGTAAAGAAAATCAAAACCATTTACATACAATAATCTGTTCTAGAACGGACAGACATACTTGTATGTGGATAAACATTTGACAACTGTTACCTCTTTAGAATATATTGCATTTTTAAAATTAAACTAGTAATTTAAGAGTAAATACTATTTTAAATCTTCTAACATCCAAAATCAACACTGATCTTGAATATGTGTTACCTCTGGGAAAACCCATTGCAACTTCTTCAAAATGCAGCTCAACAGATACACAGTAACACCAAACACAAAACAACAGCAGGCCTCCTTACAAGCAATAAAGTAGTGCTGTAAGGCCTAAAATTAGGATTTAGTCAGGATAAAATGGCTAATATCCCTCTGCTTACCAAAACTGTCATAAGAGTTCAGTTTAAACTTTTTAAAAAAAAAAAATCCCACAGAAATATATTGCTCTCTAGCAGAATACATTAGCACTAATTTTGAAATGAAAGTTAGTCTTAGGTATCTATCAACTGCATACTGATATATCCTTCCCCTGTTTTTGTTCAGACCAACTTAAAGGCAAATAATGCCTTTTTACTTGTTATTTTACTTAAACTGAATATTCTTGTTTGACAACATGGAATTTTCATTATACATATGTGTAGTTCAATAAGACAAAATAAATAAATCCAACAACAACAACTGAAAGCGATTGCTTACTGCTACATCTATCCAGTTTCCAGAGCTGATGGCTTCCTCTACAGAGGCTTCAACTTGATCCACAATTTCTTGACCAATACAAGCTGCTCTCAGAAATAAGAGCTGTGTGGACTTGTATCTTTTTTTAATGTAGCCTGCTGGGTCAGGGATGCCAAGTCTGTACAGTGCATCAAATTCTATAAAATAGTTAGATGTCTGTTACATTTAAGTACCTTCATATACATACAGGATCTTATGTGGTAATTTTTTTTGAAAGCAGGAAACGAAGAATTACATATAGTTTTTAAACAAGTAAATGCAGCCTCAAGCTGATGCTGACCTAAAACTTAGTCCAGTACAAGCTACACCTAAACATAGTTAATAGAAATATGAAGATTAAATCATGGACATGACTTTGGTCTGAGTTTTGGAAAAAAACCTTTTTTTTCAGATTCTTATACGATTAAGTTTATCTTTGCAATTATATCTTTCCAAAGTATTCTAATGTAACATGAACAATATTTCCAATATATATAATGTCAAAATGTTTTGTTTTCAAAAGTTACTCCAATGTACTCATAGAATCATGCAATGCCTCACAAGCAAAGCATTTCAACTATTTGGCGGTTTATACTTAGATGTTCTGAAAACATTCAAAGACTTTGACAGATAGTCTATCAGTCAAGCAATATTACAGAAACACTTAATACTACTACAGTAAATTATGCTGAACCTTTTCAAACAGCAAGACTAACTGTTATTTAGGGACTGACCCTTTGGGAACATAAGGGTACATTCCTCTGTTTATTCAGGTCCATATTTTCCCATAGCTCCTGTTTTAAAACACCATCGTCCAGCATCACTCAGCTTTAAGCTAGACAGACTTGTTTGGATTCAAATCAGGACACTAGTGCTACCTACTCCAGTTCTACAAATCTTACTTTGGAAAAGGTTCTTCCTGTGCACTGCACGCTTGGCTATCTGCATTATTAACAGCCAAAGTTTGGTTGTAATCTGGACACCTGGACTGAAACTCTAACCACCTGGGCCAAACATAATCATCTGAAAAGTTTACAATGAGCAGCCTAAGAAATGTTTTCAGAACAGTAATAAAAGTAGCATTTGTAACTCTGTTTAGCAGTACGGTTCTCTCTGCTGAAATACGGTTCTTTGTGATAAAGGAACACACATCGTTGTAAGCAAGATGGTCTTTTAACAAAGGAGTATCAACTACTGTATTGATTTCCACTTATTCTTGTGAGGCTTCACTCTAGACACTAGCTATATTAGGGTAAGATCAATTACCTAAACTAGTTTTAGAAAGATATTTTATCTACGAGAATATAGATTAATTACCTAAGTAACCATTCTGCTTGAAAAAGGAATCCACCCAGTTGCTCTGTGTTCTGGCATAGATGTCTGGAATAAACACAGCCTTATCCTGTCTCCCACCAACCACGGTGCCTTTTAGACGACCAGTGTTAACAAGTTCTTCTAGCACAGCTACAAGAAGAAAATAAATGAAGCAACGTTTTCTACTTCGATATATCCATTAATCAAAACATAGAGATTATTTTACCTGTTTTGTTTCTTCTTTTTTCCCACCCATTTGTTGTTTGTGCTTGTTCTAGTGAAACATTTCTGAGTTCTATCAATTATTTTTAATACTTATTTTTGGGAAAAAGAGTAAAACAATTTTGCGGAGTAAAAAGAGTAAAACAATTTTTCACAACAGTGAACCGGAGTCTTTAGAGAAAGGGGGAGAAATGAAGATGCCAATTAATTTTCGTATTATTTCAAGTGCCAGTTCTAAAACTCCAGGACAGAGAAGATGCTTTCACAAGAGATTTCACAGCCCCTACTACAAATATGCCTAGACGGTCTTTTGTTTTAAAACAAAACAACAGGACCTTTGCAGAACTACTGTTATCTCACACTTATTTTTAAAGGTAATTGAGTAATTTGTAGTGTCCTATTAGGTCTCTGTCAAAGTCTGGCAAAACGATAAGCGTCCCTCCATGCCTGTCCTACATGAGCAACACAATATTCAGAAATGAAGAACATCTGTGCTTTCATTATGCTTTGTAATTAGTGTTTTAACCTAAACAGTTTCTCATTTCTAAAATTATTTTCTATCATAACTTCATGCCAGCTTAACATGAATAACAGCACAGCTATGTGATAGAACCAAAGACTATGTTTGTCTTGTCTAACACTAAGTGTTGATTAAATAATTAGCTGTTTGTAAAATATACAAACAGTACACTGAACTTATTTTTTTCTGGAAGAGACACAAAACTGACAAAGATCACTTTAAAACACATTGCTAATAATGACAAACATAAAAAGCGAAGAGTGTAAGTAACATCATTAAAAGATACTTTTCAAGTTTTCAGCATTTGTGAAATTGAAATGGTATCTCAGCAAATGGACAGAATAAAATCAAATGTGCTCTGGCAGTGAGTAAAAAGCTCTTTGAAACTTATGAAACTGCAGAGGAAATGAAATACAGTAAGAAAAACTAAAGAAAAAGATGAACAAACTCACTAAAAAAAAAAAACCCCAAAAAAGAAAGTACTAGAAATACACTTAGCCATTGTGATGATTACTGGTGACAGGAAAACACTAGAACCTCAATTCACATTAACACTGTACACGAGCAAAACATGATCATGTACTTGCAGGACCTGTCTGAAAAAGACGGTAACCGCATACTGAAATTTGTTGAGTACTGCAACATTACTGTAATACAGTTTAACAGATTTTCCTTTTAATCTACGAATACCTGGATGGCACATTCCAAAAAAGAAGAGGAAACCTTAAACTGATTATGTGAAAGTAGAGTGTTTATATTTTATTTAAATGCTAAGATTTTAATTTTTAATGAATAAGCTTGTTGCAAAGAACAAGAAGGTAAGCAGAGAGATATTATAGTGGAGCTAAAGTGTGGAATGCCCTGAAGAAAAAAAGATCCAATCAAACAAAAGAGAAATATTAACTTTCATGAGAAGAGACAGAAAACCATTAAAGGATTCTGAAGACCAGCAGCATTTGGTCAGCCAGCATACGAGACTAATGATGCTTGAAGCAGCATTTTGGACAGACTGGAAGGGGTAGTCAAAGAAAAGCAGCAACATTAGAAGTGAGAAACAATTAAGTACTGCCTAGAAGTTTCAGCAGTTGGATAGGAAATCTTTATGCATTTCTATTTAAAAGAGGAACTGCAGAAAATAAAAGCAAACAGTTTAAGGTTATGCTTTATCTCTCAGCATATAAGGACATTTAACTAAGAGCGTAACAAAAGCTCTGCCTCCGCTATCACAGAGAAAAGTCAATAAATAAAATCCAGAGCAGTTAATGCCATTTGGCTACATAAAATCTATCCCGTTTTGTGTCCTTCACTGATAAAACTGCCAGTAGCTAAGTGCAAATAACGAAACAGACGACAAAATGAGTACTGTACTTCTTGCATCATTCTGCCCCCAGAGGCATTTCATCAACACATGCTTTCATTGCTTTAGATACAGAGAACATCTCTTCAGTTACGGATGGCACAAAAGGTTTAACACTTTTTACACTAAGGAGAAACATATTGTTCTTTATTCCAGAATTAAGGCTATATACCAAAATGCTGCTTTGAAGGCATACTTCTAGTAATGAAGAATCTATGAATTCACTAACAAAAACACAAAACAGTCTGAATGAAACTCACAGTAAAGTAAATGTTCTTGAAATCCATACCGAGTGATCAAGTTACTTACAGGTGTAGGCCTTGGAAAAAAGAAAAACAAACCATTACAAGTTAACGACTTGAAATTGATGTGGAGAATCTAGAAATAAGAGAGGTTACTCCAGATGGACAAAACTACATAGTATGTTAGCCCCAGGGTGCTACATTGATGTTTAACACAGCTTACAAGGTTTTAATTTCGAATTACTATGAAGTTATATCTTATAACAAAGTTACAATAATTATTGTAAGGAAACTTTTGCTGTCCCAAGTTTTTCTCTCCATACAAATTGACACAGAAGGTTATCGATTTAATAAGAAAAAATTATCTATAATCACATGTAGTGGGTAGGCATTAATATGTAACTGACTCGGGAGTGGCGGAATGACAATGAGGATAGATACTCACCAAACAAATGAGAGAACTACTCATTAACATTTTCTTCAGCCAAAAAACTTAAGTATGTTGTGTATTATTATACTTTGCTTGTTCTCCTTTCAAAAGGAAGTCCCCATTTCAAAAAAGTGAGTCTAATATAACTAAATATTTCACCCTAGGAACTGAACTACACTTAAAGAAATCTATCCATAGGTCTTTATTTTCTTTTCTTTTTCAATTGCAAGTGAATTTGGTTCATAAAGACCTATGATAAAAATATTTTAATATGTGGTTGCAGGTGTTGCAATTTACCGAGTAATTGCAGTGAAGAGACCACGAATGCGTGCTCGATGCCGGGACACAAAGGCTTCTGTAAAAATCACCCCACGGTTTTCCTGGTCTAGTTGTCCATGAATAATTCTACCCAAACGCCTGGATAATGCCTGTAAACAGAAGCTGGGATGACTGCTAAAATTGTATATTAACAATGTTAAACAAAAATTAATACAAAAATTTGTATTAACAGATCAGCAAATTTGTTTTGCTAAGACAGACAAAATATTCAGAAATGAGGACTACAAGTGGAAGTAATTATTTAGGTATATTGAGAATGTGTCCTACTACACGTAAGTTGATGCCATTATGGCCCACACTCCAAACTTCAGGGAATTCAGCTTTCCTAACAATGCTCTCTTCTATCAGATATATGTGTATCTAATGATGAAAGAAAACTTTGCAAAAGAGATACGTGTGGTTTGGAGATGCACAATGAAAACTAAGATCTAACCTTTGTATTAATTTTGTATGAACCAGTGGCAGATGAATTAACTATACATTTTTTCAAACAGTCAAGATAAAAATTAGCAACAATAAACACAGAAGAAAGAGGCGCAAACAGTTTATGAATGTGCATCCTTGCAAAGTGAACTAAACCCAGGAAATATTGCCCAGGAAACAAAGAGAAATCATGTAATAATTTTTGTATGTTAGAAATGTTTTTGTAGAAGCTGATCATGTGACAAATATTAGAGGAAATCTGCTCATAAATTGAGCGTCAACAAGGTTGTCTGTGGTACCTAATATGACTGTTCACCTAACACACGCTACAGGATTACCCTTTGAAAAAAGTATCTTCCAAACAAAATCCAACCTTGACTGAAAGTCAACAATGGTAAGAGAATTCTCCCTAATCCTTTTAAACAATGCAATAGTCACTAACAAAGGTAAACAGTTTTTTGTTTCTACTCTGAACGTCTGGCTTCAGCCTCTAGAAACGAACATTTATTTTACCTTTTCTGAATAAACTGAAAGGTCTCTACCATTGTATTTCTGCTTCCTGGGTAGCTAACGAGACTGACGAAATTACCCCTACATCTTTAATTTCAAACAAATAAATTCTCAGATCTTACACTAATCTAACCTGTTCCTAACAATACTAATCCTAATCTGTTCCTAACAGTCAAAAAGATTTTAAAGCAATTTTGCCCAGTAGTGAAAAGGCAAACATCAACCTCAATCTGTGAATAGCTGTTACACTGCAACCCTTATGTATCTAATACTTTTCTGCTTAGAATGACAAGCAGCTCATCACAATTAAAGCCACAGATAATGTAAAGATAACAAAAGAGGTGAACACAATCAATTCTACATTTGCTAGGTTGGTGGCTTGCATCACCTGTATCAGGAAGTCTCCTGGAAGGTCGTATGCCTTGCAGAGTTCTGATATTGTCACCTGGCCAGTTTCCTGTAGTTTATCGTTTATTTCTTCTGCTAATTGATCCAGGTAACTCCTTTTTTAAAAACAAGAAAAAAAAACCCAACACATTAAGTGTGAAGTTCAGGATCAACCTGTTAGCCACATGCTGAATTATTAACTGACCTGGCACTATACCTCTTTCTATTGCATCTTTACAAAAATAAACTGAAAGTTCTTTTAAATGAATAAAAGAGAAAATGTTTTTTTAAAAAGACTGCTAACCAGGTAGCTAGTATTAAAATTGGCCGTTTACCTGCTTGTATGAAACTGTCAAAAAGCAGGAATAGAAAAACATTGTATGTCAATGAAACTTAGAAAAGGGCTTTAGTGAGCAAGATAGGTCTTAATTATTTCAAGAGAGCCAGGAACTTCACATTCTTTGCCAAGATAAATCCTGCAGCACAGTCAATAATAGAGACAACCCCATAAGAGTATTACTTCAGTGGCTGTTAGTGTGCTGAATGCCATGAAGTAACTTGCTCATACATCTTAGGCTTGTGAGGTAAAGCAAGAAGTGGGAAAAAATGAGAGCCACAGAGCAAATGAGATCTGGCTGCTGTACACAAAGACACTGGGTAAGAAATGAAGCCTCTAAAGTGCAGGATACTGGGCAGACACATTCAGTAAGGCCTTTGCTCCAAGGATTCACTGGATGTTCTGCTGAGATAGGCCTCACTGGCCATTTGGAAAAGAAGCACCGATCACCATCAAGCAGCCCTAGCAGCAGTCAAGAAAATATGTATTTCACTTCAGAAGCAACAAAGGCTGGCCATCACTTTTAGTCTGTATTTTAAAAAATAAGAGATGTGAATTATAGATATTGCTGCTGAAAGTACTCACTCATTTATAAGCTGTCCCAGTACAAGCTGAATAGTTTTTTCAGATTTAACGATGTCGTTAGCTCTGTTTTCAATGTGCAGAAGGTCTACATTTATTACCTAAAAAAAACGCCCAACGAAACCTCTTATCAGAACTTTAAATTGAAATTAATTCTCAAACATTGAGATATTATACTTACACATTCCTGTGTCTTGAGGAAAGCTGCTTTTATTTTTTTCTACTATTGCATACACATGCAGTTAATCTGTGTTTTGGAATAAAGCAGCAATGCTTTAGGGGGAAAAAGCTCTCTTTGCAACTGTGACAAGGTTAAAAGAAACCTATATAATAAAAAATTCCAGGAAGTTACAAACAGAAAATACTAAATTGTCTTTCAGAAAGATTTTCTGATTCCAAGTAATTTTATTCAAGCCAGAAGGGAACATTAGTCACTGAGGAAGACTACTGGAGGATAAAGATTAGTGGAGACAAGAGATTAATGAAGGAAGAGGGAAGATCCAGAGAGGCATGCAAATTTAATTATGCATGCTCCTGCAGCTTTAAATTTAAATGGGAAACATATTTCTTTTCTGTTTGCCCCCTTTAGTTTACAAAGGAAGAGTTCATAAAGAAAATCTGTACATTTTAGTGGTCATTTCAGAGGTCCTATATTATCATTAAGCAGAGAGGAGCTTTCATAAAGCAGTAAATGGATGGATTAAGTAATCTGCAGTACTGTGACATGAGCTACCAGCTCTTCATAAAGTTTGTTCACTTTTAAAAAAATAACTTAGCTGGAGTGTAACTGATGAACTCCATATTTACAATACACATGGCGAAGAAAAGAAAGTAGTATACAGTTTTTTATTACTAAAAAGTTACCTGTTGTAAGTCAACAATGTTTACTCGACCTTCAAAAAAAAGTACAAATATACTTTTTAGTACATAAAACATGTTTGAACAGATTTAGAATATAGCATAGTCCATCGTGTACATAATATTTCTTCACTACTTTTTTGTAGACCAATTAAACCAACTTCAGCTTTATATATTGTCAAATCACAGAAACCATAGGTGGTCAATACAAGATATCCCATATTGTTCTACCCTACGGCCTTGCTGACAATCCAATACAGAAATTCCAGAAGTAAAAATCACTGTTCAGAATCCCTCCCAGTTAGTTTTTGCCTTGATGCTGATGTGGATTTGACCACTAGTCCACGAGTATCAATACAGAGATTGGCAAAACCTTCTACCTTTATATGATGCTACTAACAAAACCCAGCAACTTTAAATTCAACTCAAGCTATCATACTGGTGCGATACACAATGGCATAACACAAACTGAGGCATACTTGTGGTAATCGTAAAAAAATGACTAATCTGTATGCATGTAATAAGGAAGTTAATTTTCCAAACGTACAATGCCGTGAAATTTACCCTTAAATATAACTAAAAGTACAATACACTGTCTTCTCATTGACAAAAAGCAGTTTGAAGCATATTTGCTTCCTTATATATCTAAGTCAGATCTTACAAAGCAGATGGCTCTTCATACTGGTAAAATAAAAGACCTGTGAATGACAGGTCAATTTAAAAATATTATTATTACTAATGACAAGAAAGAAGAATGATTCTGAAATTCTGAGTCAAGGCCAAACATCTGGGCCAGATACTTAACCATACTAAAATACCAAATTTCCTTCCAAAGGGTTTTTAGACCACTTCTGCCTCAGAAATTCTGCAAGGGTGAAAATGAACCATGTAATGTATCTTGATATGCTTACCTAAAAGCTTAACACAGATCTGAATTGAAAATAAAATAACAGTAGGTGAATTAATGTGTAGATGAAGCAATAGTAAGCAAGCTCACTTTTTTTGCAAGATTAAGGGTACTGAAGAAAACTTTCAAATTCTTTCTGTAGTCTTCAAAATTAGCTTCCAAATCCAGAGGAAGAAAGCAAATGCCACACTTACCACCACAAACGTGAAGCTCATCCCGGATCTCCCTACTAATCTGTGCTGGAGTGACATACTCTTTTCCATCAAGTGTGTGCACTACTTCCAACTGCTTTTCCGCAACCAGTTTAGTGACAATTTCTATACAGTTCCGTTCTGACAATCTATCAACAGCATAAAGAATAATCTCTAAGTAAGTACTTGCCAAAATTATCTTTAAATTGATGTTTCAAAAATACTAAAGACAGGAAGTACAATGAAGATTCCTTGCTGTTGTGTGAATACCTTTTAAGACAAAAAACTAATTTCAGGATCCTACTTATTGCCCCCCAAATCATCCATATGGCTTCACTTATGGGGGTCATCTCTCTAAAACAACTTTTACGCTTCTCCTGAACAGCTGTCAGCCCCTTTTGCTGTAAGAATGCACCTGCCCATAAATTTCGGAATGGTTGTGCCTACAGATTTTGTGTCTTTGATCCTTCCGTACTTTTTTATTTTAGTGTGGGTTTTGTTTTTTTTTTTGCTGGTTTGGGATTTTTTTTTTTCTTTAATAAAAACAAGTTCTAGGCAACAACCTCAACTGCTCAACAAAACAGGCCCCTCCAGCCGTGACGAAGAACTTGAACTTAACGGCGACCCATACACTTCCGTGGACCTGCAGAGACTCTCCGGGGGCCCTACTGCCCGCTCGGGGCTCACAAGCACTGACAGGCGGGTCAGCGCCAGTCAAAGGGGGACTGCAGAGGGGCAGTGCCTGGCTGAACCCCCGGGACCCTGCTATGTGTCAGCACCGGGGGCCGCGGCACAACGCTCCCTGGGGCCGTGGGGGCGGAGGGGGGGGAAGG